TCTCTGTCCTTGGAAATATTCAAAACTGACAGGACCTGAGCAACCTGAGGTAACTTCAAAATTGGTCCTGCTTCCTTTTGGAAGGGGAGGTGACCTCTAGAGGTCTCTACCAACATAAAATATTCTATGATTATAATTTTTTATGGCATTTTAAATTAGATGAAAGCAATTAATCTTACTGAGAACTAAATGTTTCTACTCAAGCTTGCACTCAAAATAACTCGCAAACACATTCACTACCCCAATTTTACATGCAGGAAGCTGAGGCAGAAAGATCATTCATTTGTCTGAGACTCGGGGTCCGAAGAGCAGGGATTATAATGCAAAGATTGCAGGGGTTTCAGGTGCACAGCCTGGTGTCCACATTGTATGTCTCCCCCTGCTATCTACCAGCGCTGATGGGATTCTCCAGGGCGTAGTGAGGATCCCAGCTCCTCCCTGGGGTAGGAGGGCACCAAGCAGAGCAGCGATGCTGCACTGTGTTCCTGCAGCTGTGGTGTTACAAAGCTTACACCATTAAAATGTCTTACTACAGCTCTGCAGGTCTATGTGCTTTATAGCCATAATAGAACATGCTACATCATATGATATGTTACATTAATATATAATTAAGATGTTAGTATGGTGTGTGTTAAATATGCCGGTAACTGCAGATGAAGTGGTGTTCCATCAAGAATCTCTCTGTTGGCATGAGAGATAGAGATAGAGACCTAGAAATAGGTAATGGCAAACATGATAAACTGAAGATGTGGAAGGCCTGGGTGGGTTAATGACACTGTTCTACACACACAAGGTAAATGTGATCTTTTATAGCAGGAGAAGTTCGATCTTCTTTCTGGGGAGCCAGCTGAACATATCATGCTGTTGTGTACCATGCTTGTAAATGGCAGTCATTTTAATCTATATTTTAAAGTGTTGTGGGTGTATTTAGCGATGCAGAAAATGATAGGTGAAGAGAAAGGGATTGACCCTGGCAGGTGCAGAGAACTGCTGCTGAGTAAGACATCTCTCACGGTGGCAGGTCCATCTCTTCCTGACCCTATGTCAAGCTGCTATTTCTGTCGTCAAGACTTTTCTGAACAGACTTTCTAACTGTACAGAATAGCACCAGTCAAAAGTGTGGTTTTGTGCAATGGTCTGGCAGTCTAGCAATGGTCTAGCAGCACAAACTTAAAACCAAAACTGTCTCCAGTTCATGTAATTCAGATGCGACCCTGAATTTCAGGAGGTAACCTGAAATTACTAACCCACAAAAAAATGCTGCTTCTAATAAAAATGACATGGACCACACTGTTTTCTTCCTTTCTTCGAAAAAAATGCCTCATTTTATTTACATTACAGTCAGCCTCCGGTGTAACAGAAAGATGAATCTTTTGTGTTCTGAGATACTGTGGTCTATAGACATTGATTTAATAACATTTTGTAGTACACTAAGCAAAGAAAGAAAGAAACTTAGTTCATTCATATTGCTGAGGGAATTTGCCAATTAGGATCTACCAGGATGACTGGGAGCAAAGAAATGATCCTTTAAGTGTGAGCAATCACCTTGCTGCTGGCACATGACCTGTTCTTGTGTGTGAGAACCCAGGGCGTCCATAAGGAAGCAGGAGAGCTTTAATTTTCTTTGTGAGCAGAAGATGTAACGCACAGTTCCAAACGCTGGAGCTGGTCATTATCGTCGTGTGTTGGGTATTGTGTCTTCCCCATCTTTTGTGTAGAGGGTCAGACTGAGATTTAAAATACAACTTTTCAAGTTCTGTTTTCAGTCCAGGAGTTTTCTGCTAAAATAGTCAATGGAAAGGCTACCATTAACTCTGAGAACAGCATTATGCTCCAGAGTTAACATCCAAATATGTGGCTTCCTTTATGAGCAAAGGATGGGTGAAGTTCAAGTAGCAGTTATTGTGACCAGAATTCAGGTCATAGTTTCATGAGATACTATCACCAAACCCCCCCAACTGGATCACTGCAATGATCTGAGTTAAAATTAGCTCTTCTCAGTGCGGGGGGGAATATTTTTAATCTGGATCATTTGAGCGACCCAGTTCAGGTGCAGCCTTGCAGCAGCACACTGGCAAGGGCAGTGGGTGCAGCACGTGGGTGGGAGCGATGCCTTGAACAGGGGAACGGGGGAAGAAGCTGTAAGTCATGTTACTGCTAGAGCCGGCATTTTATTTTTAATTCTGTGGAAACTGGTGGAAACACCCGGGAAGAGATAGCTGAGTAACATGATGACTAGCACAACTTGACTCTCCCCTTGGGACTTGCTTAAGGTTTTTTCTGTGTACGATTGCTGTGACACTGGAGGTGTTCAGCTTGTGACTTTGTTTTTCAGAAACTGAACTAGCTGGCAGTTTGGAGGCTGAAGCTTTCTGGTGTTAGCCGTAGGGCACCGGGACGACCTAAACTGAGAAAACAGAAATTCCAGAAAACTGACGAATCTCAGCAAATGCTGATTTTAAAAAAGCTATTGCTTTTTTTGTTGTTGTTGTTTTAGTAATACCCTCCAAAGGGATGGATTGAAAAGGGGACTGAGCATCACAGTGCCCAACTTTAATGTTGCTGACTCTTGGCAAATCATGGAATGATAAAGCTAGGAGGACCTTGAAAGGTTCCCCGTCTGGGTGAGGTCTGGCGTGGTCCGTGTGCCTGAGTTGCACAAGCCAGTTCTCCCAGCCCTGTTACCATTTTGGTAAGGTGCCCGTGCCTCGCTGAGCTGTCACATGGTGACGGGACCCCAGAGGCCTCTCCAGTCCCCCAGTGCCTAGACCGTAACCCTTTCTTTAAGGGGTCCACAGTGTCATACAGCGCACCTTTTCCCTCTGGGCTGCAAATCATAGAATCATAGAATCATTAAGGTTGGAAGAGACCTCCAAGATCATCGAGTCCAACCGTCAACCCAACACCACCATGCCCACTAAACCATGTCCCTAAGCGCCTCATCTACCCATCTTTTAAATACTTCCAGGGATGGTGACTCAACCACTTCCCTGGGCAGCCTCTTCCAATGTTTAACCACTCTTTCAGTAAAGAAATTTTTCCTCACATCCAATCTAAACCTCCCCTGGCACAACTTGAGGCCATTTCCTCTCGTCCTTTCGCCAGTTACTTGGGAGAAGAGACCGACACCCACCTCGCTACAGCCTCCTTTCAGGTAGCTGTAGAGAGCAATGAGGTCTCCCCTCAGCCTCCTTTTCTCCAGGCTAAACAACCCCAGCTCCCTCAGCCGCTCCTCGTAAGATTTGATCTCCAGACCCCTGCAAAGGCAGATGCTGCCACAGCCTGCCATTCAAGGTAGCTTTTTTTGGCCTAGAAAACTGCCCACCTTTGCAAACTGGAAGTGATGTGAAATAAGAGTGATCTGCCAGAGGAGCTATTCATGGCCTGAGTGTTGCTGATGTGCGGGGGCACATGGATGCTCAAAAGCCCTCGGCTCCTCTCAGCTTCTGCACTGAGTGGAGCACTAGCACCCCAACCCCATAGTAAGCCAGTTTTGGGAGCCACACCAGCAAAAAAATATTTTTTTTTTCTTTTGCAAGGTTGGTTTTCTGCCAGATTAAACCCCAAACCAGCCCACAGCTGGGTCAGAGGGGTGCCAGCATCCAAATAGGAGAGGAGGCTGTGACACCCAGTAGAAGTGGGGGAAGGAGTACTCCTTTGGTGGTAGCTAGTCTTTAAGAAATAACAAATACCCTGCTGCTCCCAACAGTCATCCATCTGGTCCTGTATTCTGTCTCCGGCTGTGGCAACAGGAAGAACACACTTTAGGTTGCGCTGCGATTAAGTAGTAAGTGAGCAGGGTTTCGGTACACCTGAGCTGACCTAGTAGCTTGCTGCTGCCAGAAGGACTATTCCCACTTTATCCATCAACACTCTAACATGCTGGAAAATAATCCTTTTTTCCTTAGTTGGATTATTTTTCTGTTGGGCTAGTGAGTTAGATCAGTTCATTAGAGAGCCTGACAAGCGCCGGAGCTGGTGCAGAGGAGGGTCTGCAGAGCTGTAAGCTGGTGAGAGGAGGAGGACCTCCCCCATTCTGGAGACAGAGAGCTGTTGCAGCAGCTCAAACGGTATTGTCAGCCCTGACCTAGATCTCGTGTGAAATGAAACCTGAATCTAATCATATTTTGTTCTATTTTTAACAAGGTCTATCCAGCAAGCTGCAGTAAGCAGAATAGCTTTAGACCCGTCATTGGGTGGGAGAAGTGTGAGAAAGAGCGAAGAGCTGCAGGAAGTGGGTGAAGTGGTTGAAGAAATGGTGCTCTGCCTTTCATCCTTTCTGAGGAGAGGATGTGAGCTGGAGCACTGCAGCATTTGGTATTTGGATGAGCTGCAAAGCGGAGCCTGTGGCCACTTGTGGTCAATAAAGATTGCTTTTTTGGCACTTTTCCTAAAAGTAGCTTCATTAAATGCAATGTGTTGGCCAAATTCTAATTGAGTAAATCCATTCTGTCTCTCTCGGGGCCCCTGAAGTATCGGCTGGGTAAAATATTCGCTTCATAGGAACAGAGGACTTACTTGCTAATGGTCCAGTAATTCAGCCCCTTGGATGGGATTCTCATTGGATGTCAGCTGGCTCCAAAGGAGCTAGTCTGATTTACACCTGCAAGGAGCTGGACCTTTATTTTCTGCTGATGGCAGTGCCAGAATTATCAGGGCAAGGTACAAAAAAAATAGGCAATTAGGGAATAAGCTGGTCATTGAAAAGGTTTCTTTCTATTGCCAGACAGTTAGTGGTTGGATTCTGCTCTGAAGGTTTATACCTAGTGAAAACCTCTCCCCTAACTCTCTGTATTTCTGCAGTGTATTGCTGCAACGTTACAACCCAGAGCAGGTGGCCCTCAGCCCGAAGTGAAGTCATTCCTTAACATTTATAGCTTGAAAAGCATTTTGGGATCCTCTGAAGGCACTCTCTGTGGTGTATTTTGATAATCAGAGTATAAAATCATTCATGCAAATAAGAGGGCTTCCTGAACATCCTTTTTTTTCTTATCCTCCCCCCCCCCCGAAAAAGGAATATTCTACTAATACAGAACTTATTTTCTTGATCAGCGAATGTGAGATATTTTCTTCACCTCTTCTTTGTCTCATGGCTCGTGGCCACAAGGTGCAACATTTTAGCCCAACTTTAGAATCTTTTTTTGTGCTGAGCATAGAGTGTTTTGCTAAGGCTGCCTTTCTGTCAGACTGGATCACAAGTGTTTCATCTGCACCTCAAAGCTGAATCCTACTAACTTTGTCAGAGACAGGCTTGCACTTAAGCCTCTCCCTTTTTTTCTTTTAAGCATAAAAATATTTTCAATGGGATAAACAGAGAAAGTAACCTCAGATCAGAGATGCATGAAGAAAAAAAAAAGCCAGGATCCAAATACGGGGAGATGTAAAGCTTTTCCCAGTCTTCCAGTCAGGGCCACATGCAGCTGTGACAGGGAGGGAGGATGGTGTGGCTGTTCCCTCCTTAACATCCTTATGGGACACGGAGCACGTGCCTCATTAGGCAACATGAATGGGTGTGTGTGCATGCCTTTGTCGCATCCTCAGGGTAAATCCAGGACTGCCCTGGCCTGGATGCATGACTTCAGTTGCTCTGTCTGGGCACGCTTACTTTATGTGTCTCCCTTGAGTAGGGGCAAAGAGTAAAGAACATTCCCTTTAGACCCTTGTCCATATACATGTGATGTAGATATTGTAAAATACACTATTGTGGGCTTATTTCTGAACCATTACTTCTTTTGACTCTTCATATGCCCTTTCGTTCAGACCATCTCCAAATATAAGAAGGAGTGTGGAAGCTACTTTGCTGACAAAATTGCTCACAAATGGCATACACCCTGGCATCTTTCTTTGCCACCCCTCTTTCAAGGTTGAGGCCAAAGCTTAAGATCCTCCACTGCTCCCTGCCGTGCCTGCGGAGGGGGAGCTGGCCCATGGTTCAGCCATCTGCGGCCCACGAGCAATTACCTCTTGACTCGCTGTGTTGGGTCAAGTGTGATGAGTGGCCGGGGCTGCAGGGTGACCTGAGCTGTGAGCCATGTGAAGCTGTGAGCCACTGGGGACTGTGGATGTTGACATTTCTGGGTTTCCCTGAGGTTTGAGCGCTGGCCCAGCACTGTCCTGCCACAGCCACAACCATCGTCTCCTCCTGCATTTTTGATAGGGATGTGGTAAGTCTTTTCTGAGTAGAAAGCATGGCACAGTAGTGACCATGTCAGTGCAAAAAATTCAGGGGAAGGGGAGCCCACCAGTGCAGCAAGCACTCATTTTCCATGTCTGCCCTTCCCTGTCCTCCCGACTCCCTTGTCCAGCTGGCAGGTGCTGTGTTGCGGTGCCTCAGCCGGGCGGGCTGATTTGCGGGCAGGGTTATCTCCGTTCCTTACGCTTGCCCCTTGGCTAAGCAAGGTCATGGTTGAAGGTTAGTATGAATGGCAATGGTAGTGTGTGGACCCAGGAGAGGAACGAGTCCTGTTGCAATTTCCTTATAAAGTAAAAAGAAAAGTCTAAATTCAATACTAACGAGCGCAGTGATATTCATTGCAAAGAGAGAGGGGCGGTGTGAATCTGTGGCTGCATATGTGGTTGGTTGCAATCTGTTTGGCAAAGTGAACTTAAAGATGACATTAATAGTGAAGCTTATAACAAAAGTTGCACCATATTTTATTATATGTCCCTGTTTTGGGTCACTTGCACTACTGCTGCAGTTCTGTCATCTGGATTGTATATTCCATGCCTGTGCCTACTTCTGTTCAGTTTTGTGGGAAAAGTTAAGCTGAAACAGATCAGCTGTTTCCTCCTAGTCTCTCATCAACAAGATTTATCATTACTGTGGTCTGCCACAGGGATCAGAAATGAGGTGAGAAGGTCGTGTTAGCATCATGGATGTGATTTTAGCTGTCATCATGAAAATCCCCTCACATTTGGATAAACTCATTGAAAAATGCTGTGTTTTACATGATCAGCAGGGGAGCTGTTAAATTTTTGAGGTGACAAAGCTCAGACATGCAGAAAGGGAAAATAATTTTGTTCTTTCCTTGCAACTTTTGCAAATAGAGGCTGTTGCTGGTTTGGAAGCAGCGCAGCAATGGATGGTTTTAGTAAGGAGGATGTAGCTACAATCACCACCTCTATTCCACCCAAATCTGTGCCTGGTGGTATGGGAGTAACTGTGAAATAAAAGCAAGACTAAAGGAGGCAACCACAGCACACACCAGGATTGATGAGACTGGCAGTATCAGTAGGAGAATGATGATCAGGATGAACGACAGGGAAGACGCATGTCTCACTGCTACTTACTGCCTCCGAATGATCACAGAAGTGTGGTGGGTTTCTGTGTCTTGAGTGTGGAGCTGATGTGCAGACTGCAATCCCAAGGCTTTTCACGAGGGCACTGCTGCCGTGCAGAGGCAGCTTTTGTACTGGGTACCAGTACAAGAAGAGAGCAAGAGGAGGCTGGCAATTAATGTTGAAGAAGAATGAGAGAAAGTAGGTTAACACACAGAAATCTCTGATGGTGACTGTGGTTTAAACTGCCAGTCTGATGCAATGGATGATGAACAGGTGCATGGTTAAATTTTATAGATTTTCCACCCCTACTGAGGGTAGTCCAGCCTCCCACAGCTCTATAGGCCGTGAGATTACACATAAACCATCCCCACAGTCTGACTATAAATGCTCCATCCATCCTGGGATCAGCCAGAATTTTCCCTAACTCTTGCAAACATGTGAGGTCAAATCCTGGAACTAAAAGCCGTGATGGTTGCTCTCCTGTGCTTTCAGTGTTGTATGTATGTATGCATTGAGAATGAGGAGGAAACTGCTGGGATAAAATGCAGTTGGTAGATGGTATGGAAGAAGAGAAGCAACAGGTATATGGGTAGAAATTCAGAGAGTAATAGGAATTGCAAGTATGTGAGTGCAGTTTTAGATGCAAGAATTAAAAGGGCAAAAATGAGGAAGGCGGAATAGAGTGGGAGTGATTTTCCCAGAAGGCTGTGTAATTATTCATGAGGGATGATGCTGTAAGAATCAATCATGACTATGTGGGAAGGTTTTATCTGTAGGATCCTTGTCTCCCTGCTTGCTGAAGTTGGAAGGTATGAGGCAACAATTATATAATTAAAGATGCGACCATAATGATTATGCAAAATGGAACCAAGTTAATGGTCATGTCGATCATTATTATTATGTAATTGAATATTTGAATGTATAAGAAAACTTCAACAATTAAAGGCATTCTAAGGGCCTACTTGAAGAAAAAGAAGTTGGTTACACGCAGGCAATTACTAAAATGGCAACCGAATCAAACAAGACCAAGAAAGAAAAAAATCATTAATGGGTATATAAATTGCATTAATTTTAAAAGTCACCCTAACAACAAACAAAACTTGTACTTGTAATGGAAACTAGATTTCTACAGACTAAAGTAAATGGAAACTAAAAAAAGTAAATCAAGTGTGTATAGCTTTTTATCTTGGGATAAGGATTTTTTATAGGTTAACATTTTCACAGGCATATAACTGGCTTGGTTTTCAGAGATGGCCATTTGCTTAGGGCTTTGAATCTGAATGTTTGATGGCATTCATCTTGCCTAATTTAGACACCTAATAATGGACATTTTAAATTTAAGCTAGTTGTCTTAGGCTGGCTCTAGAATCAGTGAAGAGAAATGGCATCTTCAGAGAGAAAGTAATTTCTTCCGTCTTGGATGCCAGTTTTACCATGAGATGACTTGTCCTCGAAAGATGCCTATTCTCCACTGCATATAAAAGGAGCTTAAGGTAACTAAGACTTGAATGATCTACTTTCAGGTGATTAAAGACATTAAATAAATCCCATCGGTCTTGGTATCTAACGTAAGGCATCCACATTTAAAAACTGTAGCCGTAATAGCTACTCGTAAGGCCATATCAAAACAAACTGTTGCAAATCATGCTCTGTGTACTCCAACGGTTAGCTCTCAAAAAGGCTGGACCAAGCAGTGCAGACACAGACATACGCAACCAGGGTGCGGACCATGTAGGCAGCAAGCAAAGAGCTTTTGGAGAGTGGTGTGCCAGAAGGACTCTGTGACCACAGTCTCCCATGGTCTGCCAAAGATGGTGTCTTTTCTTTTGGTTCACCTGTATTTCAACTTCGGCTTGAATGAGTCACTTTGTCTTCAGGGGCTTCTTGGGATTTGTCTATAAATATGGGTTTGTTTGATTGCAACATTTCCCTTTCCAGCCTCTGGACATCTTGTTTAATTAGCCTTTTCAAACTCTTAAGCTATCCAGCTCAGACTCCAAAAGGCCTAGACTGAATTTGGAGGAAGGGGATGAGAAACAAGAAATGTGCCAACAGGATTTTTTTAACCTTCTTCCAAAAAGCCTTCTTACTCTCCTTGCTTGAGACCGTACAGCTGTCGGGGAAGGTACCCTCTCTTGCCCCCTTCCTTCTTCATCTTTGTTCTTGATGCCAAAATCAACCAGTTTCTGACAAGGTGGCTACATTATTAAACAGTGGTGTGCTGGCAGGCAGATGGGAAGAGCCCGTTAGACAAGAGAGGGGATAAGAATGTAGTCAGTCCCTGAAGGTGTCTGTGAGAGGGATTCCTGCTTTCCTGGTACCTGTTTGCTTCTGGGCTATTTACTTGTGCTCCACTCCAACGAATGGGGTGACAGGCAAGTGTGCTCGCCCTTCTTCTGGGAGCATCAGCACATGCAGCAGGGCCAGGAGGAAGCGGTGGTGAAGAGGTTCACGTGGCTATGACTAGGAGAGATGGGACAATCTGGAAGCATGATCTCAGGAGTATCTTCTGGAATACATCCTGGTACCTTCTAGTGTAGCTCCACCCTGCTTTCTGCTCCTAGCCTAGAAGCTGGCATCTGCAACCAACTTCTGAATGTCTGACCTCATTTGCGGGCTGGAAACAGCCATAAGCCCCTCTGTTGGGCTCGTGATCCCAAATAGTATGACAAGCTAGCAGGTTTCTGTTGGATGCAGAAAGAGGGTTGTGACTCCTACCTTGGGAATTGCCATCCATTTGGAAATTGCTGTTGTTTTTGGTCATTTTATGAGGAATCTAGAAAAGATCTTCTCCCCTTCCCTGTAGTTCTGTTGAAAACAAAGCCTCTTTTAGAGCACTAAGCAGAAAAAACCAATTCAAGGAAAGGCTGAAAGCTTGTGGGTGTTCAGGCCACAGTGCTGAGTGGTAGTTTAGTCATACAAAAATTCACCTTTTCTTATTGCACCTCTCCTTGGATATGGCTGACCACATCGATGGTTTCACTATTTTACTTTGTAATTACAGATTTCTTTCACCTCATTTATTAAAATCACTACGTGTCCAAGTAAGCCATCTTTTATGCAACATCATGACAAATAGATACAATTAATTATGAGTCTTTAAATATATGTATGTGAATTGCAATGATTTTTGAAACATGAAACTTCAACACTTTAAATTATTTTGCTGAATGAGATGACTCATTATGCCTGGGAAAAAAGATCCTGTAATTTCGTTGTATTTTCCTGTCATTAAGAAAATATTGTAGTTCAAGCAGATGAAGGACAGCAAAATTTGCAGACCCATTATTACTGGATAGTGGTAGCAAAGAGAAGTGCATTACATTTGCCTACAGATATGTGAGTGTGTTTTAGCACCCACTTATTGTTTCTTTAAAAAAAAAAAAGGTATCAATTTAGAGGACAAAGTAGAGCTGTGGTTTGTAGAAGACAAGCCTGGACACACCAGTGTCTTCAATCCACTGCTTCCATGTCTGTGTCCCCTGTTTGCTCTGCGGACTGACCGTGGACAGATGGCTCTGCTGGGTCATCCACACCTTCTGCAGCTTTTGGTGCACTTTTTGTGGGTACTGGCATATTCCCAAGGGGAGTGGGCATGTTTTGTGTGGGTGTTGGCACGTTTTCGGGGGTTGCTGGCATGCTTTCAATGGGTTTTGGCATATTCTCTGTGGGTACTGGCACGCTCTTGGGAGGTATTGGCGCACTTTCTGTGGGTGTTGGCACCCTTTCTGGGAGGGCAGGCATGCTTTTGGTGGGCTTTGGCATGTTCTCGGTGGGCACTGTCATATTTTCAGTGGGCGCTGGCGTGCTCCCAGTGGGTGCTGGCACGTGTTCAGTGGGCGTTGGCGTGCTTGTGCCGGGCTGCTCACAGCGATTCCCAGCCTCTGACCGTGGGGTGAGAGGAGAGGGGAGACCTGGCACCAGGACAGCATTACATGTTTGAGCGTCACAGGTCTCTGGATTGCTGCTGTTGCTTGGGAGGGACTCCTCTGCCTTGTGGGACACCCTGAAAGCTTCAGCCAGCTCCTTCAGCATGCTCTCGTCAGTGGTGCGCAGCTCAATGCTCGCCTGCTCAGAGGAGGACGGGCTCATGTCAGCATCTTCTTCTTCTTCTAAGATGCCAATTCCGTTCACCTCTTCAGGGAACTGTGCTTGCTTTATTTTTTTGTACAATTCATTCCTCTCTTCCTGCAGAGCCCGACAAAGGTTCTCTAGCCTCTGGATTTTTAGCACGAAGCACTCATATTCCTTGGACCTCATGGCTTTCTGTGGTCAAAGATATCAGACAAAGGTGCAGACTGAGTTCATGTGCATGCAATTCATTGGTGGAACTGGCAATTAGGAAACAATCTGAGACCTAGGCAGCCTTCATGGGGTTCTGCAAGGTAGCTGGCTTTCGCCAACTGCTCTGCAATAACTACGGTGTTTTGTACTGAAGCTTCGAGAGGAAGTTCACCCCTGTTACTGCAGTGTATTAGCATTCTCCATACAGATTCAGATCAATTTCACTCAAAAATATCTGCAGGGATACCTGCCAAAGATCTGTAGAGATGGAAGAACATAGTGGATGTTCATACAGAGAAGCATCCAAAAGCCTACCTGGACTTCTGGTGGGCGTGGGTGTGAAATTTGGGGAAAACAAGCTGTATTATATTTTTTGCTTATTTTGCTTCTAGGTTCTGTGAGAGCAGCCAGAATTGGAACATTTTCTTGCTTCTACATCCAATGAGGAAACAAGAGATACACAAACCCGTAGAAATAGCAATAGCACAGAGCTACAAAGCCAACCAGAAAGACCTGGTCCAAGTTCAGTGTAAGTTTTGGGTGAAACTCCAGGCAGCTTTTATCTTATTTGAACGAGTTCCAACATGCCTATGAATTTCCTCTGCAACGCCCCTGTGACAGCATATTTAAAACTATGGTGAGCCACAGTACTTGACTTTGACTCTTAGAGTTTGCCTACACAGGAAGTTAATGAAAGGCGTGAATTTAAAGTTCATTAGCTAGAGCACATTAATTCCCTGGGTGGATGCTCTTATGGAGAGAGAAAGTAGCGTGAAGTGAACTAATGCCAATTTGCTTCTATGTGAGAGCATTAACAACCACACATTTTTACAGCACTTAAAATTCACAGTTACATAATTCAGTTTCTCGTGGACGTAATGAATGTTTCTGCACAATCTAAAAGCCCCAGCAGCTGGGATTTTTGTCTTTTTCTTTAAAGACATCTAATTATCAAGGTAGCTTGAAAAAAAGACCATTCGATTCAAGAACAAATTTTTCATTGACTTTTGGCGATTTCAGGTCATCTCATCTCCTAGTTATAGCATTATGTGGGGGAAGGGGTGCATCCTGAGAAAAAAAAGACCGCTCACCTCTTCAATCATGTCCAGTAATGCTCTGTTACAGTTCTCAAACCTGGATTTCCACGTAGCAGTATCCTTTTCCAACTTCTTCATTTTCTTTGTCATCTATAGAAGCAGAAGGAAAAGCTGAATCACAACAGGAATTCCACACTGCAGATTAAATTAGGGTAGCCCTTTTATTGAGGTCTTTGGCTGTACTCATAATGCTGCTACCAGCAGCTGTAGTGGCTGTGCTAAGTAGTAATTTATGTTAAGGGATGGATTTAGTTTTAAGTAGCTGCCATATAACATTCAGCCTCCAGTCTGTAGTCCTAAAGTAGGACCAGTTGATTATGTGTGTAAAAGTATAGCCAACTCCTAGAGTACAAACTATCACAAAAACAAAAGGCAAAGAAAAGGTGTTTGTCTCTTTACCAGACCAGAGTGTTAGATTGCCGGGAAGTTAAAGAAGGGCTTGTATCTTCTGAGCCAGCACTGCCAAGGGAGATCCCACTGAATTAGTCACCTCTATACTACCTCCAGCACACACCACTGGCTGAACAGCACCATCTTTCCCTTTGGTTTTCTGCAGGCTGAGCTCTCTGTGAAGATCATTAGAGGTTGCCTGGATCAGGGCACCAGGATTTTGGGCCCTGGTGGCAGAGCAGAACATTGTTTATTATGAAAGTGGGAACAACATGTGGGTGCGTTTGTTTTTTGACTCCCATTCATTACAGGAAATAAGTACACCAGCTGCAAGGAAACGGTCATTTGGGCTTAATGGTGGGAAGGTGTTGGTGGGCTTCAGCTCTGCCTGCACACTCCAGTGGGAAGACATGTAGCCTGGGTCAACATTTCTGTACCAGTGTCAGTCACCCAGGAGGCTCCGGGCACTCCTGGAGACATAGGCTGACAAATGCAGCTCCAGACTCTCCCTTTGGTATCTCTAAGGGGTCTGTACCCAACCACCACATTGAGTTTTAGGTAAAATGTTTATTCTTCCAGGCAATTTCATTTGTAGTTGAAAGGGAGAGTGAAATGGCTTGCAGTGCTGAAGTCTAAGCTGCTGTCAGTCATGACCACATGTGCCCCAAACCTTATTTAGATGTTGATGAGATTTTTCTCCAAAATGAGCAGAAATGGCCCCATCCCAGATAAAATTATTGCATAATTAATAATTAATAATTATTAATTAAAAATCATTGTTTACTTAATTAAAAATAATTGCATAATTTTATTGCATAAGATATCAAAATCTAAAAGGAAAGTGTCAAGCACAGAGTTCAGATATGAGCTGCTACTCACTTTCTCCATCTCCTGTTTGAAAGTGGCAAACACTTCATTGCTTTTGGTCAGTGTTTTCTGAAATTCTTCAAACCTTTCAGAGTAGAGAGTGATCTGCATCAACAGGGGAAAAAAACCACAGTAATTTCAGAGTCTCCAGGATGGTGAACTTCTACTTTGGTAGAAGATAATAAAATAAGTATTGTGTTTGGACATGGAAATTAGCTTCTGTTTGGAGACCATGAAGCACAAACATCAGGGAACTGAAACTCTCTGCATCTTTTTAAGGTTGCAAACTATTATGATTTCTCTGTTGCAGAAAGGTAAACTGAGGAAGAATAGAAAGACCCAGACCAGTGATTTTAAAAAGACCTGGGAATTATGGGTGCCCTATTCTCCTGAATGCTGCAGCTATGGTGTCTCTACACAGGGTGCCCAGAAGCAAAATAATTCCCTAGAAGTGGAGACTTCTGAAAACATTTCCCTTGGTAACTCTGTGGAGACTTCAAGAGGACAGCATTAAAGTCTGAAAAGATTTCCAGTCCCTGCCTTTCCTCACAAGCTCTGAATACTTCTTTTCTGTGTACAGTTCTGGTGGAGATCTACAGGAAAGGACTCCTAAGATGACCTATAGAATGGAAAACACTAATGTGATCCCTGGGCCATCTCCATGGGCAGGGACTAACCTGAGCTGGTCCGACCACTGATGCTGTGCAGGACCAGGCAGGGGGATTAACTCAAGGTGAGAGCCAGAGTGGTCAGAGCGGTGCCTGAGCTCTAAGCCTTGCTTTGCCACGTAGGCATCGCCAAGCTCCAACTTTAACGTGAGGGTGTGAGCTCTGGCAGGCTTTTGTGAAGGAGCTTGGTACAGCCTGGCTGCCCAGCTGTTTACCCGCTTTCTTCATTACCCAGCACGCCAGGCTGGGAGCTGGGTGCTAGCTTGGCTACACTGCTTCTGATGTCCGAGTGAGCTGGGGGAGAGGCATCCCCACATCACGCTGCAGCCACAGTTTCCCCTCTTCCATCTTTCCAATCCCCACTCGGTGGCTCAGGCTGTGGCCAGGAGTTGTACCAGGCAGCACTTGATGTACTTCACGGGACTCCACTGTTGAAGAGGAGCATCGCTGCTCCCTTCCTACATTATCTGGCATGCGGGGTAGCCCTACCACTGAGCGAAGACCACCCTTTGCTTCACACCGTCGTGATCCTGCACTGGATTCCTTCAAGCTCACTCAAGCCACTTCATCCCTGCACTGTGGCTTGAGTGAGCTGAGAAGGCACCTTGTCAGCTCTGTTTTGTGGCCTGCGTGTGGACTGCAGCTGTAGGCAAGGCCAGCAAAGGCAGAGAAAATAATCCCCTGCCAGCGCCTTCTGCCAGCTTCAGAAGAAGATCTCTTGCAGAAGATCTCTTGCAATGTGCCAGCTTTTAAGACTATTAGGGCTCCATACTTTGCTATCAGTTCGCACTTGGTAGCCACGTGAAAGTTCATCTGTGGCTGTATTTTGACAGTAAGACATGTTTTTATATCTAAAATTTGTGGATGTTTTTGAAAAAATGGTTCTAAAGACCTGAGGTTAATTTTTCTGTAAGAATATCTTGGTTTCTGCTTTTTCTTTTTTTTTTCTGGGTGGGAAAAGCACTTTCAAAGCTCCAAAGTCATGCAGGATGCTATGTAGATAAAGCATCGTTATCTGTTCTTTGGAAAAGAAGACCAGCTCCAACTCAGCCACTTCCTTCTGGTGCCAGAGCACCCCCAGCAGTGTTTAGGTGATTGGACATTTCATCTGTCCAGGCTGACAGCTCTTGTTAGAAAAAGAGCGCTTGGCATAACACACAGTGGCTGAGGTGGGGCAGGCGCAGAGCAGTGGGAGGTTCAAGAGCAGCCTGCAGTATTCAGGCATCTGGCTGGAGGCTGGCTGCCCTCTCTGCACCGGCGGGGAGCTGACTAAATGATTAGCTAGGAGCTTTTATTTTGTGTTGTGCCAGCCAACACGCACCCTCCCCTGACACTGCTCTTCAGTTACTGAGGAAAAGAAGATTTAGAAAATGTGGCTAATAGTGGGGTGGCTTTAATATGGTTATGTTATGATTCATGTTAATTCTGGTTAGTTGTTATGATGCTCCTTAGAAAACACTGTGGCCATAATTGCAGTGTACTGTGGATGTGCCCAAGCTCAGTTTAAACTAGGTAGTTAGGGTCTCGGTGGCCGTGAATACGGCACTGGCTGCAGCCCTTCGCCACAGAGCTGGGTGAAGGCATGGGAGGTTAATCCATGCAAAGCTCTCTGGTGCCAATATTGGAGCTATCTGACATGAAGCTTGCATGTGTGTATTTATACTAGGCTGTAGCCAGAGCTATGACCTATGCACAAACAGAAACACAGAGGGATTTGTTTTAGCAGCCCGAGTGCCACAGTGTAAGTCGGACACTGATCCCAAGTTGGACATTTGGAATAGATGTCATGGCTCTCAGGAGAAATGCCTGAGCATCCCAAAGCCAGGTGAGGGAGCAGGGGTGGGAGCCAGCAAACCGTGGCTCTTAGCCCAGAGCCATTGTCTTAAAAAAACTCACCTCAATTCTCTGTCTCTGCTTTTCCCTCCCAACTTTCGTCTGTTGTTTAATTAGATTAAAAACCTTTCAGGTTTGAACAAGGCAAGCTCTGATCTCAGCTGGGGCCCTAGGCAGTACCATAGCACCAAGAATAGCTTCTGCAATTTAAATTTGAATAATAAATGCCTGTGTTCATAGTGGTTGGGAACAGGCTGTGAGAGCTGTCTCTCAGTAGGAGCGTGCACTCGTGCTCCTCAGTCAGGGAGACGAAGACCCCTCCCCGCTGCCCACTGCCCATCCAGCTCCCCTGACAGCATGGGCAGGGAGAGCAGAGGCAGTGCTGCTGCCAGGTGAGAACTTGTACGTGCAAGGCTTCAGGAAGTGGGGGCATCTCAGCATCACCATGCCGTGAGGGCACTACAACAAGGACGCCCCTTCAGCCCTGTTATGTTCGTCTCGGTTGCCGCAGCGCAGTGGTTGCACTACGCCAGCTACCGAAAATTAAAGGCCTCGGCTGACTTTTATCTTCTTGCTTTGTTTCAAATCACGGAGCTAAAAAAGTGCGCTAAGCAACATGCCTGGGGAGGGCGTGCAGCATCCTGGCAAGCACCACTGCAGTTTGGGTGTATTCCCTGAGCTGGTGCCAGATCCCTGTCACCATTTGGAGGGCCGGATTCGGCTGTCTCGGGTGTGCTGTGCTGCCCAGAGACAGGCTGGCATGAAGCTGATGTCCCCTGGTTCCTTCCAGCTCAAGGAAGCAGTGGGTGCTGATCACCTCCTCTAAAATGGAGTAGTATCTCACTCGCTATAGCAGGCAGTGAGGGCTACATTATGGCTTCTCCTTATCTTGTTGGCCAATGTCTTCTCCTAATTTCCATGCAGTTGTTCCTCTGTTAATATCTATTTGGTGTTTTGTGCTGTTTGCATCAAGGAGCTCTTCATGCTTTTTCTGTTCGGCGCTTGCACAGCGCCTTGCACAATGGCATCTGGTCCATGAGGAAGGCCCTTCAGTGCTACCATACTGGAAATAATAATAATAATAATAATAATAATAATGATGTTATTATTCCCAGTAATTCTAAATGGAGGCTGCTGTGTAAGTGACAGAGCTTTCACACTTGAGCCGACCACCTAACTGTGTGTTTCATTTCAGCAAGTGAATCACTTAATTTTCATCTACGCAAGTCTGCAAGGGGCACATTTATTATCAATGCCTTTGCAGACTTCTGTGACTGGATTTTTCTAAAAATAATTTTACCATTTCAAATATATGCTTAATTTATTCTGGCTTTTACCGATACCTTCAGTTTCATTAAACTGGCTGCAGAGGTCTGCCTGCATACAAAACTCTTTCTGGTTGAACATAAAAGTTTAATTAAAACCACTCTGAGTAAATTGGGAGCAGGTTTGCAGTTGGAATGGACTCAGCTGGAGGTCTTTGAGGTTTGATTGCAGAACCTGTCAAACTGGTGTCAGCAGCAGTTTATGTGATATTCTTCGGTGTGCTACCTGCTTATCTTAGCCTTTGAAAAAACATGTAAAGGACCAAACCCCTCTTAGCATGTTTCCAGGTTATCAGTTTAACACTAGCCTTTCTTGACTGTTCAACAGGTAGGAATTAGACCATCTACAAGGGCAGAGCTGGAACAACTTACCAGAACTGTGAGCAAGGAGGGGGCCTGCTGATGGGTGAGGAGCTGGGCAGCTGCAGAGGGGTGGCAGGACTTGCCTCCCCCCCCCCCCCCCCCCCCCCCCGCCTCTGCTGGGGGAGACGATTCTCACAGACAGGTCCAAGAAGATAAATCTGCATGACTGTGTCTGTAATTCTAGGAAAATCTACTGATGCTGTCTCTTTTTGATGTGAAAGTCCAGCATGTCATCTAGTGTTCTCACTTGTATTCAAGGTCATTACTGCATTGCTCTCAAGGTGTAGTATGTGCTGCCTGTTTCTTGTTTTTACTGCCTTTCACTCCAGCCTGACTCGTAGTGTAATTTTGGCAGGTAATTTAATTTTATTGAATGTTTCAAATTCTAACTGAATATTGAAACCCTAGAGGCCTCTTTGTATAAACCCTTAGTAGGCAGAATTCCTGCATTAATGAAAACTCTGCCTTCACACTCCAGTCCAGAAAAGCACATGAGCACATCAGCTCCAGTTTGGTAAACGTTTCATGATATTTATGTACTCCGGTGCTTTGCTGGATTAGAAACCTGCTTGAAGGCTAGTTATGGTGAATAATCAAGCCAAGGCACCCACATTGTTGTGTGGTTGAGTATTGTAAACACTCATAAATCATAGCACCATAGAATGGTTTGGGTCAGAAGGGACCTTTAAAGGTCATTTAGTCCAACCCCCCCTGCCTTGGGCAGGGACATCTTCCAATAGACCAGGTTTCTCAGAGCCCAGTCCAACCTGGCCTTGAACACTTCCAGGGATGGGGCATCCACAGTTCTCTGGGCAACCTGTGCCAGTGTCTCTCCACCCTCATAATAAAGAATTTCTTCCTTATATCTCATCTAAATCTACCCTCTTTTAGTTTAAAACCGTTACCCCTTGTCCTATCACTACAGGCCCTGGTAAAAAGTCTCTCCATCTTCATTATAAGCCCCCCTTTAAATGTGGAAAGGCCACAATAAGGTGTCCCCAGAGCCTTCTCTCCTCCAGACTAAACAACTCAACATGTCACAGTATGATTTGCCATATGGGCAATTACCTTACAGTTGGCTTGAAAATAACCTGTTTCCTTTGCAATAGTCTATGGGATGTAGAATGACGCTAGAAGGAATACATAGAAAGTACTTTGGATACTTTACCTGAGCGTGCCTCATGGGTTAAAAACTGGGAAACAAAGGCACACCATGCAATCACCTCCTACGTCACCTGTGCCTGCAGGACAGTCTCTTGCTCCTTTAACATTTTGGCCTGGAGCTTCCACTCCGCAGCTTGGTTCAGGAGCTGTGTTTTGGGCAACAGAGAGAAAATTGTTAGGTCCCTAGTTTATCAGTTGGAAAGCCTCATCCTCCAGCTACCTATGCTTCTGCCACTGCTACCTTGATAAGGAGTGATCTAACTTTCAGATGAACGTAGTTAGAGGAGTTAGGCAAGACAGAGTATTTAGTGCTATCCAGAGACATGGGACAGGGCATTTGGTTTGCAAAGGCATATTTGAATAGAGTTCAAAACCTACTTGGAATGAAGTGTGCAGTGCAGTGGGCTCTAAAAAGTGTGGTATTTAACCATATCTTCACCCAACTTCTAGAGAGTGGTTATGATACTTCTGGCACTTTCATTTCAGCACAGCTCCGGCCAAATTCCTGCTCTCCAGTGAATGGCAAACTCCCTTTTGCATTAATGATCAGGACTTAGCATGGTCACAGTCAGACGTGCCCCAAAAAATCTGCAAGCTTTCAGAAAGGGAACGCATAGTAAACGTCATACGTTTACTGGTGTCTGTTACCTTTGGGCTCCATTTGCATTGACATGCCATCAGGGGAGAATCCCAGCTCGGGGTGACAAATGCCTCACTTAGATCAAGGAGGCAGCCCAGGAAGAGCTTGACTGCAGCTTCATCCCTGGCTGCTCCTGGGGAGATGTGATTCCCTACTTCAATGTATTGAGCAAAACGACATTCTGACATGCAGGCTGCAGATGGGAGGGTCGGTCGAGGCTAAATGAATTGTAGGAATGAGGTGTACCGACATTTTTCCAGGCTGCAGTTCTGAGTCAGCACTTCCAAAGTGCGTAGTAATATTCTAGCAATTGGTTTAATCTGAAAGCAGGAAACATTTACTGAAGTGTTAAACAAATGTGCCTATCGCCTACCAAACATTTATAAAGCATTTTACTGGTTAGGCCAAATGTATTTTAGAAAAAGAATGCTAATGATAGCTTGAGAAATGCTATGGTAAACTAAACAAGTTAGTTTGTAAACTAACAAGTAACAAGTAACAAACTAACAAGTAACAAGTAAACAAGTTAGTTTACCACAGGACTTTCTTCTGTTGGATTAAATTGTACTGTTTAAAATAGCACAGTTGGGCTCTGAAAATATATTGAAAATAAAAGTACTGAGTAAGTCAATAGATCCTACTCTTGTATTGGAAGTGAAAGGTGACTAGAACCACATGCAGAAAATGTATTTATTTGATCCCTAGTAAAAACTTTTATTCTAACCCTTTTGTTGGAAATAACATATGTAAACTACTTGAATACCACCTGGTAAAAGAGCTGAGGATGTACCCTACAAATGCTGACTGAACAACATAATGAATTCCCTCCCTGTCTCTAGCTATTTGTGGCACAAAGACTATCTGAATTAGACTTGTTGCCCATATATACAAAAGCTCTAGAAAAATATTTCTTCCATCAATTTGGCCTTTTGATTTGGACCCACTGAAATTTTACCATCTACAGTTTCCTAGACAAGAATGTTTTACAGCTCAAGTATGCATTGTATGAAGAAATACCATGTTCTGTTTGTTTTATACTTGCCTCTTTATTTTGAGAATTTAATTTGATGTTTGGTTCAATGGAGATAAGTCAAATTCTTGAGTTTAGATCTTGCTGACTAAAATTTCAAATAGGTTGTGTCATAGTCAGTAAAAAGAGATGGTATGAGTAGGCCTAGGTTAAATGAGCCTCAGTTCATGCATTTGTTTTCTTGGGAGGGGGTTTGTTTTACACACACAAAAATAATTAATTGGTTTTTAAGTTTGGATGAAATCTGGATTTTTAAGTTTCACATTTCTTTGATATCTACTTGTTTGGGTTTGGGGGTGGTGGTGGTTAGGAATTATAGGGTGTCTGGTTTGAATGATTTAATGAAAAGTGCTTTGAAAACCTTCAGAGATACCCAGTCTCTAGGCCAGTCATTACTTCCAAAAACTCTTTTTTTATCTGTATTGCTTAAATCTCAGCTAGGGTTACCTTCGTACCTGGTGTTCCTGGGATAATGAAAAGGTCCCACCTCCCACACCATGTCTTCTGCCACAGCACAAGAGATGGACAGAGAAGGCAAAGAAAAGTTGCTTCTTTCGCCTGTTAATGAAATCCTTCTTTCTTATTGACCCACATAGCTTCTGCAGCCAGTAAAGAGCCAAGAGTTAATAAACTCCTCTGTAATGGAAGCAAGGCACAGAGAGGCTTGCTCAAATTAGCACGCACTCTTGTGCAGCCTGAGGTCATTTGCAAACACCAAGCTGGGAGAAAACGAATCAGGAGAACGGATACATTTATTAATAGGCTATGAAGTGGTAACAAGGAGGCTGAAGTATAAAGAAATGAATAAATATTGCATGTGGTGTTTACAAAGCAGCACTTCAGTGAAGTGTGGTGATGTTACACTGTATTATTAGAGCTATGATAGCTGCTGGAGGCCCAGAAGACAGTCACATCATGCTCAGGACTGAAAGAGCCGGTCCCCAAGAACATACATTCCCATTTAATGACATGGATCTAGGGACTGGCTTAGTGAAAATTATGCTTCCCTTTTTGCTGCCAGACTCTACAAATTCCAATTATGTAGAAATCTGATCAATACCTTCCAGTCATATACTTGAAAGCCACAGAGGCTTTAAACTGCAATTGATTGCACACCAAAGTTTGTATTACAAGTGCTAAAAACATATGGTATGGGGAGGAAGTCCACGTAGTGTTGACCAGTTATAAGATGATAGTAAAATTGCATCCTTAGGTAAAGTTGACCCTTTGGGAAGGCCACACAGTATGAACCATTGTTCCTTATATAAGGAATCACATTCTTAGTTGCACGTGTAGAGCGAATTGTGCAAGCAATGAGATGACCTGCCTCTGTGATGTACAGAGGCTGCAGGAGGGGACATCTCTCCTTGTCTGAGGTAAAGAAGTTTTGTATAGGGGCAAAGATTCCTACATGGGAGAACTGCATAGGAAGACATCAAAGTGAGCCTTCAAGGAGTAACCAAATAGATAAAAAATACCAAAAAAATTCAAAGACATTTTGAAAATCCTGCAGCAAAAGTTATGCACAGGGATGTAAAAAAATGGTATGGAGAGAATTGGCATATAGTTCTGAAAGCCTTTCCCTCAAATGACAGGATGCTGAAATGCAATAAGGCTCTGACTTTGCACATTACTGAGCTGGAGAGAGATACAGCTAAAGGAGAGGACTCCATCAAAACCACCTTGATTTCATACATACATATATATCCATTACTCCTACAGACTCTAGCACAATAGCTGGGTGGGTGGGACTAAGAGCTCAGCAATATGATTGAGGTGGGAGACAAGTGTAGGCCAGCTCTCTGGGTGCTGGGCTACCTGCCATGACATGCTAATCATGCCTTGACTCATTGCATGGCTTTTGACTGGTCACTTAAGTTCTTCAGCTAAATCTACCTTGCTCTGAGGTGATATTAGCCATACCTCACCAGCCTACCTCAAAGGTAGGGGTTTTGAGCATTAGCTTGGACAGTGTGAAAAATATTCTTTGCATATGGTGCATTTCATTATACACCCACTACTTAAAGGCTTTGTAGCTTGTTTTTGAACCTGTTATTTCATAGGTGCTAGTCATACATGCAGCAAAGCCACCAAAAAAATCTTCCTGCTTCCAAATGTAGACGGTGATGACTTTCACTGCTTTAAAAGAAATGAAAATAACAAAACTGTGGATATCAGTTCAGGATAAAATACACAAAGAAGGTTCGGCTAGAAACAGGGCCAGTCGCAGGCAACAGGCAGCCCCAAAACTCATATTCTGTGAGGCACAGCAAGAAAGGTTGTTGGTATAAGGCTATATATGTCACTTTTCCACAGAGCCAATGCCCTGTCTTTCACATCTTTTTTTTTTCCCCCCAGTATCTGGAATCTGGTACTCAGTAGCAAAACTCCCAGTGACTGCAGTAAAGTAAGCCCAAATTTGCTTTGTCATAGTAAGGGATTTCTTAGAAATGTTTCCTGGGGTTTTAATCTGCCAAGAATCAACTGTCATGAATGAAATTTGAGGGTTTGGCTTTACATAGGCCCGCCAGTGAAAGGGAGGACTCAGCTGGACCACAAATTGTCATGCAGTGACATGCAGATGTGCACATGGAGAAGCCCCAGCTCCTCTTCCCCCTCAGTCTTTAGCTGGGAGTAAAGCTGAGCGGGAGTGGGTGTCCCAGCCACAAGATCAGTGCAGAGAAAGAGGATAAATGCTCTTATGGGCAATTTTTGGTAAGAGGCGTTTCCTGTGTTTCCCTGGTGCTCTACCCACAGGTAGAGTCCCACATTTTCATCCATATTTTATGATACTTTGGCCATGCTTGTGCTAATGTATCTGTTTCCAGATACAGGGAGGGGATAAATATCCTCTCTTTAGAGCTCTCTCGTGCTGCTCTTGAGTTAGCTGGAGCACTGGTGAAAACTAAAGCTTTCTTCCAGCCGATGAGAGCCTGTCACTCCGCCTGAGCAGTCTCGGCTGCTGCCAGCACTGAGAAGAGGGATGAGGTGTCAGTGTCAAACTCCGATCCTTTGTAGATGTGAGGATTGCTGTGAAAATACCAGGCAGCCCGAGAAAATTAATTTTGGTCTGACTGAGTTGCAAAATGCGTGAGACCATGGAGGAGTGCCCTCCTCCTGTCCCAGCTGTGCCTGCGGGGGACATCCTGCCCGGAGCTGCTCTTCCCTGTCCCCCTGCTAGAGGTGTCCCCTCCGACAGGTAAGGAGGAACAGCAGAAGAGGCTGCTAAACGGACCCAGACCCTTCCTGCCTGAAAGAGGCACTGGCAGACCAATGTGGGGAGGGGAATCTCTCCAGAAGGGGAAGGGGAGGCTCCGTCACAGCAAGCAGCTCCTAAGGCCTCCTCTGCTGGCAACACCAGACCCACAGGGGGACGTCTGGGGAGGCTCTGAGCCTGGGGGGATAGCAGCCTTCAGCCATCTCACTTTAATCCCGTGTTCTTGTTCTCCTCTCTGATTGTTTAAATGTGCTCATTTATTATGTGGAGAGGTGGAGTATCAAATATCAGCCGTTTGAAAACTAACGGCATCACCCAACCCAACGTCACGACAAATCAACTGTGTAGTAACGGTGAGTTAGCTAGAGCAGTCTGTGCTCTAACCTACCACTCTGCAGTTTGCTTCAAAAACTGTAAATGCTAATGAAAGCAGCCTTTCAGGGGCTGTTCCTTTACATAGAGCATTGACAGTCGCAATAAAAACGTCTCTGCTACCGTATCCCAGCTCGGACCTGAAGAACCAATATATTAGTGAAATAGCATGCAGGGCTGGTTTTGGCCTAAAGTTAGATAAAAGACAGATTAGAAGGATAGGTACGTATTCCTTTTCTTTCTGATGTCGCTCCTCGGCTTCCTTCATCATTTCCTGAGACTGCTCCAACTTGGCATCCACCAGTTTCTGTTGAAGTTCTCTGTGCTTAAATATTTTATCAAGGTGCTGTAAGAAAATAAATTCTGCTGAATATGCAGGTTTAATTGTGTACACAGACCTTCGTGCTCATGCATGTACAGCTATTTACTGGAACACTCATAAGACAAAAACATTGCAAAACAGGAAGACTCCCAACCTATTGCAATGACTAAAAAACTACAGTGCTGATAAGAACAAACTGTGCCAGAATTTGCATGGGAAGGGAAGCCTGATTACATTCTCTATTTTGATTTATTATAGCAAAAACAATAATTAAAAAAAAGCGCCTTAGCATCTTTGCCAGTTCTGTGGTCTACGTATGAAGTCATATCAGTATAATCCAATATAATTGAAGATCAAATAATTGCTCATCAATAATAAATATGCAGGGGGGACACTTTTTTGGAGCTGTTAAGTGACCAGCGGATCTAAGCCACTGTGTGGATAAATGTGTAAAGGCACATTGCACCTGCAGTACTTGGGAGCACGTGCACAGCTCGTACCGTCCTCTGTAAATACAAGCCCTGTACATCCCCTTTGCTCTGGCCTCACATGCGTAATGTGGGCTTGGAGAGCCTGGGTGAAAGTACATGAGTGGGGATGTGGAGGAGACCAGACCACATGAACCAGAGGCCTCCTCTGGCCTGTAAAACCTCTGGCTCCATGGTGACCTTCAGGAGGTAAATGTTGCTGATAGCCCTCTTCGCTCTTGCTTCATTTAGATAAAATTCACAGGAGCAAATATTCTGAGCGCATCCCTCTGCTTTACATTTTCTTCTCATAGAAACCACAAGACAGGAATGTACATTTCCTTCATTCAGCATAAGACTTCATACATGATGCAACAGACTTGGAAATGCATGTATCGAATCGGGCATTCCAGATTGTAAGGACAGATTACTTATGTTTTATTCAGTATGATAATGTTGTCTGGTTGCACTGAGGCTCACAAGAAACGTATTTAGAAACGATAAAAAGACCCATTGCGCTATTTGTTAGTGTTTGTCATAAAATAAAAAAAAAATGGTAGTTTGGCATTTTACTGTAGAGGTTTTTTTGTGTCAAAATTTTCTGACCAACTCTAATGTTTACAGAAAGAATAATTTCCCATCTGTCTATTATCTGCTAGATCTTATGGTGAGCATTGTGCCTACAAAGAAGAATCTATTCCAATGCAAAGGGCCTCCTTTATCTGTCTTCTTAATTTTCTGCTTCTGAAAGGTCAAAGCATTTACATCAGAGCCCTTCTCAGCAACCTGTGTCTGGAGGGAACAAAAGTGTATTTGGCATCACCAGCAGAGCAGGCTGTCCAGAAAGATGGGAGCTGGGAGGTGGTTGGTGGGGACTTGGAGGGGGGAAGCGGGAAAGGGGTGCTGGGGAGCTCCCCAGGGATTTGGGGGAGCTGTGAGGGGGCCGGGGGGCAGCTTAGCAGGCAGCTGGCACACCTTGCTGCTTGGGTGCCTCGGCCCCTCTCCCCACAGCGGCAAGGCTGCCATGGGTGCTGCAGGCAGGGTGCCGGCCCGCACAACTCCTTGCCTGCAGAGTTTGCCACGCGGAGTCCGGTGGGCTTGCTGCATGCATAGTCCCACTCAGATGGCAAAGAGTGGTGGGGGCTACCCTCGTTACCTCCACAAGACATCCGAATGATAGCCAGCGGGGAGGACAGGCTGGCAATGCTTCTGCTTTCCCCCAGGGAAGCCGGGTTTGCTGCCTGTGCCCGCGGGCAGCCAGGGCGTTGCTCTCACCTCTTCCCGCAGCTCGTACTGGTCAATGATGCTTTTCAGCTTCTCCGCGAGCTCTGTGTTCTCCTGGCAGAGCTTCATGTTCCTCTCGCTTTGCTGCTCGATCTGAGCCTGGATTTCACTCAGCGTGCCCTGGAAATGATTAGTTATTTCTTTCCTCTTCTCATCTTCCTCCCGTGCCCGCTGAATTGTTTCCTCCTGTTGTTAAATGGGAGAGAATGCAGTCATGTAAGTAAGATGCATAATAAGCGGTTCCAGAAAGATACTGTTTCCGAGTAGCATAAGGCTTCCCTTTGAAGGATTATACATGTTTGCATTCCTCTTTGGAGATCTTCTTGCTTTCATCTGCTCCAGCATTAGGCATGATTCTAAATTTACAGAGCAAATTACACAGTGGCCTTGAAAAAATTAGGGAGCTAAGAATTTGCATTTATAAAGATGGATGTAGAGCAGAGTTTCAGATCAAAGCAAGCCTGGAAAAGGGGACATACATGCATGTCTTGATTCATGGTACTGCAGCACAGCTTTCGCTTTGGAAGAAGAATTTAGTGGAATTAGTCAAAAGCTTTTTTATTGAAATTCTGTTTGATTGAATTAAAAAAATCACCCTTTAAAATACCTCCTTTTAACTAGGAATCCTCATATCAAATTTATGGTCTTTGGGATTTTCATCTTCAAAAGAAATCCATCACTTTCTGTAGAATCCCTCCCAGTTCCTCAATTTTCCTTCCCTAACTTTTTAACTGACACCAACATTTGCACTAATTTATTAGGTAGTGCAATCAAGGAAAGCTTGTGGGCTGTTTCTTACAGGATCAAAGCAGAGAATCAGAATTTTGCCTGGAGAAAGATCGATGGATTTATTTTTTTTTTACCAATTATTGAAATTCTGTTTTGGATTTGTTTATGTAAAAGACAATGCAGAAGAATCTGGATTCATTGCTTTGGATCCCGAAATACGGACTATTTTTATTCGCTACTCATTTGCTTCCAGGGCAGTCTGCCCTTCTGGGGAATGTAATCCTGACGTACAGCGGCTAGGACCGTATCTGCTGTAGTTACAAATCATGCCAGAACCACGTTAAGAACCCACTCCACAGCATGCAAATGGCGTACTCTAATAAGGTTTCAACTAGCATAGTCATTTACATAAAAATCTCTGATAACACTGCATATGGATACTTTCTATAAATATACTTGAATAAAGCCTTAGCTGACTCTAATGAGGTATAATTAATATTATAAATGTGACATAAAAGGTATTGATTCAGGCCCTACTCTTAAAGTAAGACAAATACCAAATGACCCAATTTCTACTTGGCATGCACAACACAAGCCTGATCTTGGACAACTGCTGTTCAAGGTAGGGGACGTTTGTCCTTTTGCTGACCGGGGAGTGATAGAGATGACAACGCCTTGGACGACGGGAGGAAAGTATTGGAGCCATTAGTGCTAATAATACCGTAGTGCACAGGAATCACCATGAAGCCCTGCTGTGCTCTGCAGTTTACACAAGAACACGTGTGTGTACTCACAAACAGAGTAAAACGAAGTGTGAGCCCAGAAGGACTCTCACTCTTAAGAGGAAGAAAGAAGTACAGTTGGAGCTGGGCAAATGTCTTGGGGGGGTCCTGGTTCAGTACCTGTGTTGGAAATTGGACACACGAAAAATTTGCAGGAAGATGAAAGAGAAGCTGTCTAATTATTTTTTTTTAATTGGTGAGAATGATTTTGAGTTAGCCTGAAACATTTTGATGACCAGAAAGTGAGTTGTGTTGTGTTTGTAGTTACTTTTTGCTTAACTCTTTTTAGGACAATTTTGAAACAGAAATGCTGTTCCAAAGCAGAGTTTAAAATGCTGCTCAGAAGGTGTTTTAAATCAACTGCTTTAGTATTCCCAAAATGAAGCATTTCATTTTCTTTTGAAAGGGGATGTTTACAAACAATGTCATCCTTTTTATTTTTGTTCGAAACTTTGCCAAATTTAACTTGAATGCCTAGATAGTTTTGGTCAAGTCAGAACTCCATTTTACCTCTAATACACTGTTTAAAAAACTGCTCGTGCCTCTTTGTTCTCCATTGTATAGGAGCAGCCCTGAGCAGGGAGAAGGGTGACCAGGTGCTTTCACTTCAAGAAGTCAAAAACAGAGTGAGAAACTGAACTTGCATGTCTGGAGTCCTATTTCTGTGGCTTCAAAACATCCTTCCTCAAAAATACTTTATTGTTTCAGTGGACCAAATGGTGTTATAACATGTCACTGCTGTGATTTAAAGCTCTCTGAAGTAGTAAATCCAGCTGAATAAAAAATAAAAAACGGGTGGATTGTGCGTAAGTCACACCGCAGCGTTCTGTTACAAGGTGAAATGAGACATCCTGAGAATAGCAATCATGCAAATGAAAAAAAAAAAGTGCATGTGTTACTCAGAGGACCTTATTTCCTGCTCATCCTCTCTTCTGTGGTAGAATAATTATACAGAGCACAGAGACAATACAAAGATTCATGGTTAAAGACACTGAGCCAGGAAGCATTTCGTTGCAGGGCACAGTATTTCTCTTGACCTCTTCTGCTTCAGAGAAAAAGATATTTGAGGAGGATATTTGCCTGGGGGGCTAGGATGTGTCCCAGAGAGCTCCTCAGAGTCCCTCACAAAATGGCAATGATTTGTTAAATCCTCGATATCCCAATTACAGATTAAGGGTGGCTGTGGGTGGGAGGAGCTGACTGAGCAGAAAGGCGAGTGTGTGGCTACGGCACTGTGCAGAGGCCTGCAGGCGTTGCCTCTTCGCTGCGCCAAGGAAACAAACCCCTCTGTGCCTCAGTGCTCTGCCGTGCCATGGAGCTGGCCGCGACGCCGCCAGCGCCCAGCTGACGGTAGGCTGGGGCCCTGTCCCTGAGGTAATACTAGGGTAAAGAGGTTTCAATCTCTAAGTGCTGCTGATAATACCGTGGGAATAGTGGCAGGTCTTTGGAGGTGTCTGCATTAAACCTGAGCCTTCACTAGCTGAAAAGCCTACGGCTGAGGCTGCACCTGCGCTGGAGCCAGGGAGGGGGCTGGGTGCCCACAGTGCCACCAGCAGAGCCCTGCTTCCCTGCCAGCTCTGCTCCGGGGCTGCAGGGTCGGCTCCCCTTCACCCACCTCGCCTGGACAGGCACAGTCTGGCAAACCCCAAACCATCACTATCATCCAAGTTTTATTATCACAAAGCTACAGCCCCAACTCTTTGCTTATACCTGTCTCCGTAACCTGACAGAATGCACTTTTTTCCAATAGGTTCCTTAGTCCTTCCCATTTCAAGACCCCATAGTGTAAAGTAAGATCCTTAAGTTTTCTCACAAATTGGAGGCTTGAAGATTGACTTCTGCTTTGTGTTACTGCTGTTACGGCTGAAGTAGCTGTGCCGAGTCCAGAGCTCCTGGCTTGCTTGGTTGTAGGGAGCAGAGGGTATTTGCGGTGGTGACTTCTCAGCTTCATCAAGGGCGTGTAGTGATAGGACAAGGGGTAATGGCTTTAAACTAAAAGAGGGTAGATTTAGATGAGATACAAGGAAGAAATTCTTTATTATGAGGGTGGAGAGACACTGGCACAGGTTGCCCGGAGAAGCTGTGGATGCCCCACCCCTGGAAACATTCAAGGCCAGGTTGGACTGGGCTTTGAGCGACCCAGTCTAGTGGAAGATGTCCCTGCCCATGGCAGTGGGGGTTGGAACTAGATGATCTTTAAAGGTCCCTTCCAACCCAAACCATTCTATGATTCTATGATCATGGTGAACTCATAACACACAAACCATGCTTGGCCTTGTCAGCTGCTTCACTCTGTGCTCATTCTTTTAATAGTTTTAAATTAAGTGTTTTAGTGAGGTTTTAGTGAGGAAAATAAAGCATTGTAAATTCTTTTTAGATTTCCAGTTGTGGAAGACTGAAGTCCAGCCATAAACTATTGTTCCCTTTCCTCTGTCCTTTCTTAATCTTTGTGCTCCATATCGACCCTATCGAAGATACATTTGTGTGTCCTACTGCAATACTGCTATCACTCTTGTGTTTTACTGCTAAAAATGTAATAATGCATTGAATAAAACCTTGTAAAATTAAGACAAGGATATTTTGCAGTTTGGGATTTATCACTGGAATGTCAGATAATTTGCAAATAGAAGGGCAGGATTGTCTCTGGTCCTTCTCTCTCTCTGGGGCAAGTCAAGAAGACTGTTGGTCTGCTAAAGTCATATCAGCCAAGACGATACGAGCGTGGACTCCTCCTTTTCAACGACCCATTCTCCTCATTCCCAGGCAAGCACGGTCTGAGCCTGAAGGTCTGCAGTTTGGAGCTGAGCCCACAATCGAAGCTGTTGACTGTTGTGACATTTGTGTGAAAGTCATTGCTTAATGCCTGATAGCAGGAAGGACAAGGGACCTGAGATGTTCACGTCAAGTAGCCACCAAACTGTCAGATAACTGGCGGAACACGAACACAATGCAGAGAAATGAGTCGCTGTTGGTCTTAGCAAAGCTACTCTCTATTGCAGTGGGAACGCACTCTGCTATTTCACGAACATTTATTCTGCTTTTCTTGGAGGGAGAATTAAACATCTGTTTTCTGCTGTGAAGTGTAACTGCAAGGAAATAATCTGAATAGCTGGACTGTAAGTAAGTAAAATTTTGAGGCTACTATCCAATACTAACCACAAATTTTTCTTCTCTGCTCTGCACTGTGGATTTTCAGCTCCACTCCGCATTGCATATTCATCACCACTTGGCTGCACCAATCTCCAGTTAATGGGAATTCCACACACCAGATGAGTGAAGACGACATTTACATGACGTGATGTGCATGTAATGTACCACATGGCAAGTCAGAGGAGGTTCGTGATCTGGACAGGCCAGGTTTCTCCTTTGCTATTGAAATGACACAATCTCCTACAGTTTTTATTTTCCATGCTTTGGAACACAATCAGAAGTGCTAATCCCAAGTGCTAAAAAATTATGAATCAGCTTCTCTGTCCTGCCAAAACCAAAATAAAAATGACTTAAGCAGGAGATTTTAAAAATAACATTTGATGGATTCTCCTGTTTTGGGCCCTCTCAGTACAGTCATAAGCGAAAGAAAATTGCACTCATTTAAATAAACAGAAGATGAGATTCTGGAGATTCACAGATGTCCAGGAGCTAAAGCTTAAAGGCAAATATTCCAAGAATTATGTTAAAATTCTGAGAGAGACAAAACTGGATAAAGATATTGAATACCTTTGTTTATTAATTTAATCCTCTTTAATTCTGCAAGTATATTTTGTCTTACTGTTTTGTTTAACTTTTGTTTTTACACTGAAAGCCCAGGAACCAGAGGAAAGCTAGTACTCTGGGTTTCTTAAAAGGTCTCCAAATTCTTAGAGAGACGTGGCCAAGATTTGAACACCTCTTCCTCCTACAAGATCAGTTCAGGTACCTTTCCTGGCTCAGCTGGCTAGGTACAGGATAAAAATCAGAACTGAGTCTGAAATTGATAGGTTTATTTAGCGGATGTAGTCCCAAAGTAAAACAGTCCAACAAGTGGAAAGATGTTGGAAAGAGACTTTCCTAAATGTAAAGATGAAATGTGTAATGAAGTATTTATATGCAAAGAGAAAGGAAAAACCATGCTCTCTGATATTGACATTAATAAGCATATGACAGCTGGGAAATTGAACAAAACCTGTTCCAAATATGTTTTCGAAATATAATCGGTTTTTCTCTATACCCCAGTTTCCGCTTATTTGTTCCACCGATATGATTTATTTGTTTCAGAAATCTCAGTTAAGTCTATGCAAAGCACTGTACACTGTACTCTTAAATCACTCTAAAATGAGCTGTATTTCTGTTGAAAGATTTTGCCCAAAGATGGTCTGGTAAATCAGTGTGGATCAACAGTGAGGTATAGCTCAATATGCACCAGTTTTGGTACAAATGACAGGCACAAATTTAATTGACACTACCAGTTTTGCACTGCTACAACTGAGCACACAGAGATTTGCTTCTAGTTTTCTTAACTACCTGTTAAACTGCTTTTGTCCTTCTACTAGTGCACAGTTTGAGTTTATACGTGGCTGTTCCCCCTCCCAGCTATATTATTACCAACGTACAATGGAAGTCAGAGCTAGACCCTGAAGGCCTGCTCCTGAACTGGTGGAAATGAATGAAAATCAGTTACAGTTTATAGAGGTTATAGCAGGTGAAATTCTTGCTGCTGAAAATTCATATGTGTAATTCTATACATAACTATATCCCCATAAAGAAGGATCTTGAATAGATCAAAGCAGAAGCTTTTTGTATAATAATACCACCACCATCACTTGGAGAAAAAGGAAGATCACAACAGAAATGTACTTCTTGAACCTAAATTTTTTCAAGAAGCATAATAATACTATAAATTTCACATTTAAATGGTGTGATGCACCAAGCAATAGGCAGACATGGCATATGGATCCCAGCCTTTTGACAATCCTGAATATTTCCTTTTTGAACTGATGCCCGTAATCCAAACAACTTCCACAAACAGTGTTGGCATTCTTCCTGTCTTGAGGCTCGATGTCTTGAGGCAAATGTCCTGATTGCCTAACCCTCACAGATCACTTGAAAATGCCCAAGGGCTCAAATTACATCAAAACACCCGCCAGCCTTCTGTGAGTCTCCTGGAGCAAAGCTGGTGTTCCTATTATTCTGGCCATGCACATACATCCGCATCTGCAGTCTCAGGGACCTGGGAAGACATGTTCTGGAAGACCTAGCTGCTATGGCTTAAAAAAACGCCCTTCCCCAGCTGCCTGCTCCACCGCTCAGCCCCTGCTTGCCGTTCCTGGGAGGGGGACGTGTGCCTGTGCCGCCCTCTCTCCAGCTTCAGCCATGGCTGGAGCCAGGCTGAGAGCTGGAGTGAAGTGACAGGGACGCTTCTCACAGCCCAGCCTGGTGCTGGGTGACTGGCCTGGCTGGGGGGCAGAGGCCAACCTGCCACAGCAAATTTGGCAGAGCTGGTCTGTTAGCACCACTGGTTTTTCTCTGCGCTGAGCTCCCTGCTAATGTGAGAAGGGCTTACAGCTAATGTGGGCAAACTCAATGCTCAAAAGCACTTGGATATTTCCAGACGAGGAATAAAGGGTCTTGGTGTACTGGCCTCAAGACTAGAGCATATATATAATTACATATTGCACATGCAGATGTAAACGCTCCTTTGATTTGGTATTAGAGCAAGATGGGAAGGCATCAGCATCTTCTTCCCCCCCACTGCCGGGTACCTCGATAAGGCCACCTCTCACCTTGAGGTTTTTGTTGTGCCTCTGGAGCTCCCGGCACAGGCTCTCGAGCTTGCTGCGGGCGAGGATGGCTCGGCTGTGCTCACTCTGCAGCTGGTCCTTCTCCTTGGTGATCTGGGCCTGCCTCTTCTGCAGGTACTTGAGCTTTTTCTGCTCAGCGCGATGTTCTTCAAGCTGGGTGGGGAACAGGAAAAGGAAGAGGGAAAGGAAAGAAAAGAAAATGAGCTCTTCTGCTTTCAGGAAAGTGTTCATACTTTCTTAACCTCTTAGGAAAAATTTTGTATTTATCAGCGCTAATGGAAGAGGAGCAAGTGACCTGGAGGGAGTTCCAAGCCTGCTCGCTGCAACAGTTCCAAGTGTGCTGTAGGGTGGGTGAGTGAACATAATTCTTAATACTCTTGTCACACCATTTCAGCCCTTCCTTCTTTGATTTGAATCTCTTTGAAGGGCAGCTGTGAAGTTTTATTTTTGTTTCAATGTTAGGAACTGGAGGAGCCGGTAGCACTTTATGAGGTGAGATTTCTCCAGATCATGAGATAACGCAACAGTTGCTCATTCTGTTTTGTGACTTCCTAAAAAAGAAGCGGCTTCCTAGATACCCAGGAACCTGCTGGAAGAAACAACAGCAAAAGAGGCACTGGAGACCAGGGACACTGTCTGTGCAGGGGCTTTGCTGCTGCTGGAGGAGAATGCTCTTCAGGGACGAGTTCCCCAGAATGACACGTGGGCACCTCCTCTTGTCAGGCTCCTCTTGCTTGCAGGCACACGTGGCACCGTCCATCAGTTGTGTTTCTGGAGGTCCCGTCATCCCATCATCATCCCGGGTGGGTTGCAGGGAATCAAACCTCTTTCGGGCTCTTCAGATCCATGTAATTACTGAAGAAAATATGGACAGTCCCTGATGTTCACTTGGGAACCTGCTGTTCCTGTGGGTGCGTGGCTCCTGCCTTCCCTAGAGGGCTGGCGGGAGGAGGATGTATTTGGAGGGGGGGTGAGGGACAGCAGCAGAATTACTAACAGCAGTCCCCACACAGACTGATCATTTCTTCTGACATGTGCCTATTACTGGCTGTTTTGAAAAAACTTCCTGCACTGCAAATTAACACCATAACAGTCACTTCAAAGAAGCTTTTCACCTCTGAAGCTTTCAAAGAATTCTTCTCCCATTCCAATGCACAGCAGCCCTCCTCGCTGTATTGCAGGCGTGCATACATTGCAAGACATCTCTGAAGTCCAGATATTTTCCGGTTGAAAAACAGCAGCACATGAGCTGCAATGTGCAAACCTTAATAATAATAGTTGCTATTAAGATTACATTATCTAATAATAGGGTACCACTAGTATTAATTATTAACCCCAGTATGACTGGGAAAGTTTGTGAGTGCAGGGGAATGATGTGCAGCTCAAACAAGACAGTCAACGGGCATCATATTTTACACTTTCTCTGCCCGAGGATCTGTTTTCTGCAGATGCTTTGTAATTTATGCTTACAGTACAGAGCTCTGTGTATTACCAATCAAATCACAGCTAGGCATACCACAAAACAATGCAAACACCAGCTTGAAGTATATTTACAGTTTATGCTCAACTTTCCACATGTGTATTGTGTTTTTACCCCAGTAGATCAGAATAGGGGCTTTGGCATCTAATCAAGCTGCACTAACTGAAATCATTTTTCTAGTATTGTAGGGGAAAAATAGCCTCTCTGTAATTGAGGCTGAGATTTGTTTTCCTTTACAAGCTTGATTTTGGCCCCTTCCCCTTCCCTTTTAAAAATACAAAAAGGGTTCTTTTTTCCTTCACATTTTGCATGCGCAGCCTGTGCTGAGCAGATAATGATTTATCCAAATTTTAGATGATTCACTCAAGCTGTGCTTGAGATAGGGGGCTTAGAATAAAATAGGTCTTAATCGTGATACGAGAAGTCTTTCAAGTCTTTCATTTTTTTTTCTCTTTTTTTCCATAAAAAGGGCTTGCGCTAGAAACTTATATTTCAAAGTTCTCAGGAATGTCTAAGACATGGTGTTACTTTTGCACTGAGGAAGGGAATTCACTGGTAAATAGGAATGACAAAAGGGCCCCCAATGGTAAATTTTTAAGAATAATTAATGAAATATTAGCCAAAATTAACTACAAATAGAAGGAATTCTGATTTTTGAAGGCTGACCTAGAGAGGGAAATTCTCAGTTTAGGAAAAAAGTTTTGTCTTGACCCCACTGCAGACAATGACAATACTCATATTTATTTATTAAGTGTATAGTTCGTGCACCAGCACTTGCGAGACCCTCAGGACCTCTGAAAACAAATAGGTCACAAGCAATTCTGCAACAGCCATTTGTAGGCAAAAGCTAAAATACAGCACAGTCTGCTTTACTAAACCCAACCACTCTGCCTACACCAGTGTTGTTAGTGAATAAAATGTTCTCTGATGGCGAGTAGCATGGCGTGGCTTGTGCCCAAATGGCTGCACTGTCTTCCTCCTGTGTACCCACAGACAGGCACGGCTTCCTTCACACCAGCCCATGCTCTTTCCTGATGCCTTCCGTTTTCTGGTGTACCCGTCACTACAGGCTGTGCCAGGGTATGTGCTAACAGTCACACAGCATACAGCTGGGTGGCTGTGGGGAAGCGCTGGTGCTGCGTAGGGTCCCCGAGTACAGGCAGCAGCAGCACTATCTAATGCAGCTGAAGCCATTGCTGGCACCCAGCTCAGCCTGGCACATGGCTGCACCATCCCCTGGGCTGTGCTGCAACAAGTGCTTGTGTCACCACATGGTTCACCCACCAGGGAGCTGATCTGGCTGGAAAACAACTCGGCAAAAGCAAAAAGTGACCTGAAGTGTGTGATGGGGATGGACAAAGAGGGAGCAGAGAGAGTGGTAACTACTACAGCTGACTGCTGACAAGTTATTAATCACACTACACCCCTCAGCCGTGCTGAGTGAGCACTGCAAGGCTTTCTCCAACAAGCTTTTAGTTGTATTTATTAACTGATTTATTTTAGCAGCACTGGACAGGATGTCAAAACTGAATGCTCGGTGCTTTTGTTTTAGCACCTTTCTCCTGCACAGGTTATTGGTAATATGGCCCCTGTTTTATGCAGTGTTCCAACAACGCTTGACTGCAGTGGAGAGTACATTACAGAAGAAGACCTATTTCAGTTAATCTGTGGGCATGAAGTCCCTTTAAGCATGGGCTAAACTATAAAATGCCTGAGCCAAATTTATGAAATCAGAGGATTTTACATGAAAAAAAGCCAAAGCTGAACTTCATATTATGATGAGACATGGACACATCTGTGCATAAAACCAATTATAAAGTTAATGTTCTGCTTGGCACATTTTGCAGTACTCCACAAACTGTAAAATGCTGCAGCCTCTTAATTTGTAAGATTTCCACAGCTTATGGCCATACGGCCCTTTAACTACTTAGAAGAAAATACTTGATCTGAAAATAACCCATCAGAAGTGTGGAAAGAACAGAGTCAGGTAGCTGGCATTGTAACAGGGGTAATATTATGGTGGCAGGGGCTTTGACTCTTCATTTCACTATGTTGTGGCTTCTCTCACGATTAGCCTCAGTTCTCTATTTTCTGATTTTCTGCTTCCTAACATTGTATACTAAGCCCTGTATTATTTTCATTTTGATTAAATCACTGATACGTAATTTAAAGCAACACCCGCATACAGAGGTACGCAAAACTCCTTGCAGAAGGTGAAAGCAGGAGCCTAGACACTAGACTCCAGTGTGGGTCGGTTTGGTAGATTTGCCTCATCAACCTTTTAACCCAAGGTCCAGCTTGTTTTCCTCACTTTTCACTTTTTTTCTCCTTCTCACCCATAATTAATTATTTAACCCTGACAATTATTTTGGGATTCACTTAACAGGACAGACGCTACCACTACGTAAGGTTTGACCGTGCTGCATGGCATGGTTTTTATACCTTCCCGTATAGACAATTTGCGCAGAAGAGAACCAATGCTGTACTGACCAGCTCAGCATACTTCTTAAATAACAGGTCCAGCTTATCCTCTGGAGTACTCAGCTTGTTCAAGCTTTGCATCAGTAGGGTGGCTTCCTTCCCTTAAAAAAAAAAAGAAGCAGAGATTTGATGGTAGAGGTAGTTTGTAGCTGATGTACTGTTATGAAATTGGTTGTTTGATGCATGAATCTGTAAAAACTCAGGGAGAAATGAGGCATTTTGGAAGGAAGGGAATAAAGTTTGCTATACATTTCTGGGTTTTTCTTCTCCCCATAAGAGCAAACATGCTTGAATTTTCCTCCATTTCAACCCTCAGTAATGTGCTGTCTTCTAGCAAAAGCATTGGCTGTGAAATGCTTTTGTCCTGTATAATCTGATTTTCATTTAATGTTTTGCAACATGACTGGATCACATATATGGCACATTTGACTGATACAGGATTGAAAGGTCCTGGACCCTGAAGGCTCAGAAGACAGATCTCTTTGCAGGCAAAAACAGATCAAAGCTGGTGTACTCAGCTCCTGTGCTGCTCCACCCATACAAGACACAAAGAAGTTTAAGTTAGGTACGGAGACTATGGTGCGGATGGAAACAGAGAGCAGTGGGTACTGCCAGCCAGGTCTGGGCTACGTGATCGTGGTGTAAATCAGTTCCCTGACTTGGTGAAGAGAGTATGGATACCAGAGACAGTCTAATAACTATCTGGGCGCGCGTAGCTAAATCACTGCATAGCCATTTATGTATTGCTTCTCTTCTGATACCTCCTGGTATTAATTTCAGCCCCGAGTATGACCTGGAGCTTGAACACCACTTGTTCATCAAATACAAAATACCCCTGGTGTCCCTAGAGATAAAAAAGGCTGTGGTGCCAGGGGCTTGGCCGTGCTTTTCCAAATGCTCCTTTTTCCCAAGACTGTGAGAGCAAATTTGCTTTCTGCTTTAGGCTGGACTTTTTCTATTTCAAGTCTAGTGCAGTCCAGGAGTACTGCCTGTGGAGAAAATCCACTATTTCACACTAAGTTCTCTCTGTAGCACCAGCATAAATAAGTTGAAGAGCGCTAAAAATACTGGAGCGAAAACTGTTGCAAGTGCGGCTGGAGAACTGTGCTTTGCTAGTGTTTTCACTGATCTTGGAGAGGTACCAATAACTGGACCAAAGCCAAGGCAATAGAAACTGAGGAACTTCATTTCTCCTGGACATTCAAGGAATTTAGGAAAAAAAAATCCCTGCTCTGTCCTATGGTTTGTCCCTTGTCTGTAAGAACGTCCTGCAGTGATTTTTCTATAGGCTTAGTCTGCAGTTGGATTTGGGTTCTCACGCAAAGGAGGGGCTTGAAGATTGGTGGGAGTTAAATGTAGGAAGGGAAATAAATTACCTGTTTGCTAGATTGGGAGAGCTACATTGCTCTCTAGTGGCTGCCCAGCAGAAAGGACATACTTCACAAAAACTCGCTGAGACTTCTTTCTAGCTCAGCTAACAGAGCCCTGCCGTGGCCAAGGTGCTCTCTAAGCACTGCGCTTAGAGAGAACAAAGGCATTGGCTTATTTCATATAGTCCGTGATGAGTCCGGAGGTCTGCTAGATGAAAAATAACCTGGGCATGGCAGTGAATTTGTTCTGCAGATTCCCACGCCACGTAGCAGCACCATTATGACCGCTGAGAAGTCATGCCTGAGGAAGCAGGGGAAGAAAAAATTTACCGAGGCACAAACAAGAGGCCACGTTTTCCTTTGTCTAAGAAGCAACTTTCTGCAGTGTGTCATCAGTCTCACAGCTTTGGCTGACTAGTTTGGGCGGCCCGATAGTATATCAGAATTGTGTGATATAATCCTAAGTATTTGTCTTTTTAAAAGGACTAATATCTGATACAGCCTTCATGTACCTGTTGCGTAATTCCTGAAAATAATTATCAGTTAGAGAAAAGTTGTAACAGTCACCATAATTTTCAGTGGTAACTAGAGGTCCTATCATCCACAGCAGAAACTTAACATGGGAAAGAGCAAGGACCAGGGAGGTTTTACTTCTGTTCGCAGAAGGGCTGTGTAAGTACATAAGTACTTGCCTAGTCCTTTCAGGATTTTCTTCTCCAGTTTTTGCTCCTTGCTGCCGCTGGGCTCCTTTGCTCTGGAAGCATCCCCAGGAGCCAGCTTCTCTTTCTCACTCTCCTCATTTGCATCTTCATACTCCACATCCTCCACGCTGCCTGGCTCTCCCTTTTCAGGCCTGTCGGTTCCCGTAGCAGTGCTTTCCTTCTCCATCAGGCTCGCGGCAGACCCGTAGGTTTTAATAATGTCCTCCAGCTGCCGGCTCAGCTCCTCTGAGATGTCGCACACGGCTGCTTCGGGCCGGGTGCTTGGCTGCTCCGCGGGGGCTGGAGCAGGGGGCTGCGAGCTGGGGGCAGGTTTGTCCCAGCTCTGCCCCTGGATGTCCTGCCCGGGCGAGGTGGGAGACTGGTCATTCTCCATGCTTGGTGCAGTACCTGACAGCAAACAAAAGGAGGGTTAATTTAAAAGCACACAGAATTAGTCATCTAACTGTTCCCAAAGCTCGGCCAGCATGTGAGTGTATTTGTGCGGAATTTGGGATGGCAGCTCATCCACCGGCTCTGGCTTGATAAATATTTCATACTTACATAAACAACCAAGGTGATTTGCCTGCAGGGAAAAAAGCAAATTATATACTTTCCATGAGGAGAAGCCTGCACAAACCTAATACTTAAAAATCAAAACCTCTTATTCGTGTTGCCAGTGATAACACATGAAATGATGCCCGAATCATTTATACCACTTCCCTCCCTGAACATGCTATTTACCATGTTTACTTTTCTTGATCTGTTTACCCGCGACGCTGGCTGCCGATATGGGCAGCTTCACTTCTGAGCTGCGTTAGTTTCATTTCCTATTTCTCCCCCGTCGGCACATCTCTAAGTCAATAATCACGAAAAAGGAATATTTTAAATGAAACCAGCAAACTGAAAATTGCGCTGTGCTCTTGGAGAGCCCAGTGTTGTGCTTGATCTATAAGTGGCCTGGCTTGGTACTGTCACAATAACAGCAAAGAATAAGATAAACAGCTATAGACCACTCTTCTCTTGTACTTGCTGCGTGCTGCTGACAGCTTGTTTGACAAAGTACAAATACAGAATAAATCACGGTGAAGTAAAACCGACCGGGCGTAACATGGGTTGGTAGTCCGTGGTGTTTTCTGGTGCTAATTTCACATAATTTGTTCCGAATTTGCAAAGGGAAGCTTTTGTTTTCCCATGTCTTTGAGCGGCTGCACTCAGCCAGGCGAATCCAGAGCCCCCGATGTGTGTGTGTTCCTCCGGAGGCTGCGCCGGCTCACCCAGGATCTGGCGATGAGGGTGTCAGTGAGAGCGTCCTGGGCACCTGCTCCCCAGCTCCTGCAAGGTGTGGGCCAGCAGAAACAGCATCTCTGACTGCGTGCGGCTGGGAAACTCAGTGTAGAGAAGGCTCCTTCCTTCTCAGAGTGCCAGCAGAGCTGCTGTCGCTGCTGCATTGCCCTCATGAGGCGCAGGGTGCACAGCTGGGTCTTGCCCGCAACCAGCCCCCGCTTCTGCTTGACTACAGACTCTGTACTCTTTATAGCCACAGGTCCTTTCTCTCTTTCTTTTTCAGGCTGGTTTTTGTTCCTCCCTTTAATGACATGATTTACAATGGTGCCAGTGGGGAACGAAGAGTGGAAGAAGATTGCTTTCTCAGTTTTGTTCCAGCATCTGAGGTAGTTGCTTTCTTATTTTTTAAAAGACGACTTGTTTTGAAAACATGGAGCTAACTGGGAAGCATTTTGTTCCCTGTTCAGCTGGCCGTAACGTATATCTTCTATGGTGTCTAAATTTCTACAGCTTTCAAAATCATAAACTAACTTGGCCAAAGGCAGTATATGATAAGAGAGATGTAATTTGCTGTAATACACGACTCGGTGTTTGTTATTAAACTCTCCCCAGTCAAAGTGATGTTTGGAAGTGCAGTGATGGCCATCGCTAAGGCATTTTTCAAGATTTGATTGTCTAGCTATTTGACTGGGCTTACAGATAAGATAGTGAAATATTATGGTTTATCATCTCTCAAGCCATTAATTGTGGGCCTATAATTGAAAGCTTTAAGTAGGGCTCAGGATGTGCTTGAAAACTGTTAGCTATAAATCCATGCCCCTGCAGTCCTCCCACAGGTACAACTCGCCAGCAGGAACGGCTTGGGAAGGCGGCTGGCCCTGGTCCCACAGACCTCGTCAGACAGACAGATGCATCCCGTTCTTTCCTTCCTGCTTGTGGCATGGTCGTTATATCACTGCAAAGTGATTTTAAAATTATATCTGTCTGATTTGATTTCATATTGGGCTCAATTTATGTTGAAAGATTAGACCCCACATGTGCAATTTAGGTAAATAATTCCAGAC